TTTAGGGGTGATGAATTGATAGGCATCAACGGGCTGACCCCAAGGGGTTGTCGGTGAAGGTTAATATTTTAGGTTTAAAAATTTTAGGGGGTTTTCTGATATTTCAGAAAAAATTAGGATATTTTTATAATATATATATAAGTTTTTAAAATAAAATTTTTAAAATTATCATAATATGAAACGTGTCATTTAATAAATTTTTTTAATGGTCGTTATGGTCGGGACACTTAAAATTGTAACATTTGTAACGTTAGACACTTAGTTGACCGAAAAAAAAAATTAGACAGTTAAATGGGAAAAAGGATATAGTTTGAACAATTTTTTATATTAAGTCTATAAAAAAATCATAATATAAAGAATATACAATTTATACTCTTCCTCATCCATAAATCATAGAGATATTGAGTGTTTAAACATGTCCAATCTCAATTTCTCATATATTATACATCGATAATGATATCAATCAAACTAAACTCAATTGATAAAGTTGATGATTTTCTATTTTTAATTGGTTTCAATATTCATATGTTAACTTTTTCAAGATTTCAAGAAGAAAATAGTAGGAGTAATTTGTCTCTAAAAGCTACATGCATCTGTTTTGATCTTGGTTTGAAAAAGGATGAAACAAGATATTAGATTAAATTACACGTTCTTTAGAAGGATAAAAATATAATTTTACCATACAGACATTGGATATTATATAATTTCATCAAATTAATATAGGATATGAATTAATATTGAATGATGTAAACCTTTAATGATTAAAGCGAGTGAAGTTACAAAATCAAAGAAGTATAACTCGATAATATCAATAATGTTCGATCGATATCAAGTATGTCGAATAGATTATTAAACTTCATCTCTCTAGTTTGTGTTATTGATCATGCAAAGTATTTTTGAGAACAACCTTGCTGGCCCTATAAGAGGAAGGACAACTAAGTAACTCAAATGTTAGGTGGGTTCTCTTTTTCTAAGGAAAGAAGGAACAGCTATTTCTCTTTGGAATTGGCCATCGTCAACATTATAAATATGTTTCATGTGTCTCTATATTAATAGATAAGGATTATTATTTTATATATAAATAATAACTTTTTTAAAAATGAGTAGATAATTCTTATTTTGTTGCTTTTATTTTTTTAATTTAATAAAATTACACACAATCATGTTATAATTCTGTTTATAAAATATTTTTGTTTAATTATCAATGAATAAAATAATTATTATATACACATAAAAAGGAGGTGTATATACAAATATAGCTTTTTAGATTCAAAGCTGTGGGCATCTTGAAATTCAACTAATGTTTTAGACCCATGCATCTTATCCTTTTCCATCTTGTCTACTTGTATTTACTTTTTAGGCAACTAAAACAACTAGATATTGGTTGGCAGAAGGACCTTTCTATCATCCATTTTACTAGTTTAATCAATTTTTTATTAATATCATATGATTATAATATAATATATGTTTGAAAAATTCTTCACTATTTAATAATTAACGTTCAAACATTCCCTGCGGACATTTTGCACGAAGACTTCTAAGAATAATAATAATTTATTTAATCACTGGAATCGTTTGATTCGTACTAATCATTTTAATTCTAAATCAAATAAATTGTGTACGGGTTTATAGAAGGAAAACGAATCCAAACTGAGTTCATTTTATCTAAATTTATAAAAGAATGTATTCAAGACTCAATTTATACAAATTAGACATACTCGACGAAAAATAAACAAATGTCTAACTCTTACGAGCAAAATTAGGGGAATACAAAATTTATTGAGCGATTTTAAAGATAAATAAGATTATTATTCTTTTTAGAGTATCTGAATTCAAACAATTGCATTGTGTCTATAAGATGTATGCACATTATCAATTAGCTACCTATGTTAATGCGTATTTACTCTAGTGCGGATATTATATCTTTATAAACATATATAGATACGAAAATCTAATTCTTCAATTTTAAATTCTTAATATAATTTTATTAAAAAAATCATTTTTTAACCTAAAATCATAGGTATACTCCTATTTTATGGAGGGAAACACGATAAATAAAAGGAGAGCAGCCACTTCACGGGCGCATGGGGCAGCCGAAAACGAAACTTCCCCCAACTTTTTCCAGTTTTAACATTGAACTAACATTTGTAAGGCACGATTGTAGCACAGAAAAGAAGAAAATTAATTAATAATTTTAAAAGCCAAATGGCAAAACTATATACGTAAATTCACCGGGACATCACCCTTTGCCAATTTTCAGCCAATAATAATGCTTTTCTAAGCCTTCATCAATCTGACAATGACAATTCAACAAACCTATTTATAAAATAAATAAATAAAGCGTTGGATAATAAATATTATTTTGAAATTGAACATTAAGGATAAATTCCATTTTTACAAGACAAAACAAGCCTAACTAAAAGAAATCAAGAAATTCATTTGAGCTCAAGATTGAAAACTAAATTTCAATTTAGAATCAAAGTCTAACAGTTTTCCTGGCTTGAATTTGAAGCAAATATCCAAATTGTGAAAGGAATCATTGTTATTACCCGCTCATTAAAAAAGTTTGTCCTATATATCTCGTGTACTCATGGAGTGCAACAATGATTGATTAAGTTTTTAATCAACAAATAGAGGTGTCAGTAGGTTCAGATCAATATTAACACATTTTGACTTGATATGATCTTATAGAGTTGTTTTTTTTATTATAAAAGTTAGGTTCAAATCAATTTTTTTAATGATGAGATTGGATTAAGTTAAGTTTAAGGTGAAAAATACTCTACTAGACCCGATCGATCCAGAAATTTATATTCGTTCAATTATATCCCTATTTTGCCTAATAAAAATTATATATATATATATATATATATATTGGTGTTGAGTTGAATGTAATGCGAGTTTTTATCTTTTAGACAAGATTTTGAATCAGCTCTAAACTCAAATCTGACATTGAGTCGGATGACAAATGAAAGGATATTACATTCAAATTAATTTGGATGGGCCAAAAACTCTTCCCTATTAACCCATGACCATCCCTATATGTACCCATTTGATTGATTAAAACGCAGGTATTGAAATAAATTATGTATGTCATAGAAGCCCATAGTTATAGACCCAAAACTCACATTGCCCCTTATGACAGTCGAGTTAGACGTACAGTATGAATGGACTGCTCCCACTTTAATTTTGGTATCAATATCGTGCTGGGAAAATATTTTTCACTCGAACTAAATAGGATTCGGAAATTACATGCTTACCCTTGGTTGTTTTATTGACAACTAACTTTTAATTCAAACCAACTAATCACGTTGGCTGCAGCAGGCGGAGGAGTGTTGTGAGACAACAATGGTGAGTGGATAGTTGGATATTATAGGAATATTGGGCGTTGTTCAATCCTCCATATTGAATTGTGAGCTCTTCTCGGTGATCAAATTATAGTTTGGGACTATGGCATCAAGCATGTCGGAGTTGAGATGGACAACAGTGAGACGGTGATAATCCTCAACTCTCATGGACTATGAAAATTAAAGTCTGAGAAGTATTTTTTTATTAAATGCATGACAAAGTAGTTGAACCCCTAAATTGTACAAATGCAGATGAATTAATGCATCGACCAGCAACACATAAAATTTGTTGCATTTCTTAGTAATAACTTGTTCAACCAATTCACCTACACACATAAATGGATCCCTAACCCATGCCCTTACACAAGCCATGCTTATTTCGATGTTCGCGGATATCCGATTCATATTTGAATTTTGAAATTATAATTAGTATTTGTAATAAATGTCAATCATTATTTGAATATTTTCATGAAATTAATGATAGGTTATTTGAAGGAAGCTAATTAAGATATGAGTTATAATTTTTTTTATAAAGAAATGTCTTGAGTTTTGTTGATCAAACTATTTTTTATGCATCCGATATTTAATATAATCAATTAAACAAATAAATGAGAGATACTTGTGATTCTTACACAATAATGTTGAGATTTGAACCTTTTGAACCGCAAGGGTTGTATTTATGGTTTAGGGTATAGTACCTTTGGATTTCCAAATTGGGTATTAATAACTGTTTCGGGATATCTAATAATGCGTGCCTAGTCCTTATAATTAGCTAAGCTATACCTATTCATGGGGTAAAATTTCAATATTTTCTCCATGCAATTACATGTGCTGATGTACTATAACTTGAATATTTAGATGACTTTCAAGTTTAATTTTCAATACGTTTTCTAATGTAATTCTAACTGAGCTAGGTTTGAGTAGTTTTATCTGTAGATGTATATGAATTTATCTAAATTTAAAATCGAACATAAATATTATTTTGTAATCATATTAGAATGTAAAAAATTATGTTTTAAAATATTTAATTACTGACCCATTGAATTTATATTAGAGCTTGTACCATTTAATGGTCTATCTATTTCTATTAAATGTTTATTACTTTAATATTTAAATATTCTTTTAATGCAATCAATTAATTCAAACAGTTTAATCGATTGAATCGATAATCAATGATCTTAATTTTGCTCTGTTTTTTAAACACTGACTAGGAGGCATCTATGTGTAATCTAAAGTGATCAATTGGAACTTTCATAGTATGACTCTCATTTTAAATTAGTCTCTAAACTTTTAAATGTTCTAATTCCATCCATAAACTATGACTATCATTCTAAACTAATCCTCAAACTTTTAGACATTTCAATTGGGAATGAAATTGGGGGTGTTTAATTAGATGTAAAAAAAATCAGGAACTTAGAGCTTCATGAACTTAAATATATTCCTCCATTACTCCCCAAGAAGTGAAGTCATGAAACTTTAAGGGGAATTGGAGGAACATGTGAACAACTTTCAACAATGTAAAGATGGTTTGGATTTTGAGATTGTCATGTTTAGTTCCATCTTAAATGTTAATTAAGTATTGTAAGCAGTGAAGCAAGATTTGGGTGCATTAAAGTAGTATCTACTTGCCACTTTTAATGCTTGTCTGTCCTCCTTTTAATGGTGTTTGATGAACCCAATTTATGAACCCTTCTTCCAGTATTTTCAATCTCCCCCTCCTTCTGCAATTTCCCCTTCATTGCCTCTTATCTGTTTGATGATTCTCCCCAAACAGTTTTGAAAGGTTGCTGTTGCTGTTTTCATGGAACTTACAGAGTTGTCTTTGGCTTCAAACATATGTGTTTCAGCTGATCAAACAAGCAGCTTCGCTCCGTCATCTCATCATCATCATCATCAAGCTGATGGGTTCAATTTTCCTTCAAAAAAAAGGAAGCTTTTCCCATATCAGTTTCAAACCAGTGTTGATCTTCAAGTTAAAGACTCTCTGCCATTAGGCTGGGAACAATGTCTTGATCTTGAAGTATGCTCTTTTTCTTTGCTGAAATCTTTCATTTTTAGTTCATATTTCTCAATGTTCTAACTTGTCACATGCAGGCACACACATGCACATACATACATACATACATACATACATACATACATACATACATACATACATACCATGTTACTCGGTTTCAGGGTATGCATATGTGTCATTCGAAGAATATATGACATGGTCGAACTCAACTAATGATTTGAAAATCTGGGGTGGGATTGTGTCTTCTTGTAGTCTGGTAGAATGTACTACATGAACAGGAAAACCTTGAAGAAGACGCGGAATTGGCCTAGAGATCAGAAACTAGACCTTGAGCTCAACATCTCACCAACAAGCTCTGATTGCTCGGAACATTTCAACGGTTGTTTGATCTCGGTCGAAGACTCCTACGACAAGAATCGACAACATGCTTCGAACACCACCAACATGGTGGCTTTGCCATGCTTGAATTGTCATCTTCTTGTCATTCTCTCCAAATCATCCCCTGCTTGCCCTAACTGCAAGTATGTGCACTCTCTTCCTACATTGCAAACCACTAAGTCTCTTAGTACCTTGAGCCTCTTAAACTAAGACAACCGTGTCAAGACCCCAATTTAGCTCAATCTAAGATTCTCAACCACGTCATCTCTTTCTTTCCAGGGTTATTACTTCTTAGGCAGGCTTTTAGCCATTAAAAAAAACTTTGGATGAACTTATAATGTTGGTTCAATAACAGTAAATATAATCTTTCTTTTAAAACTCTTTTAGATTTACACAATTTAAAATTGTTTTAGACTTACACGTATTAACTTTATATATATATATATATTTGTTTTTTTAAATACAATCTCTAAGTTATTTAAACCCCTCCTCAAATCAATAAATTAAAAGATAACATGTTTAAACACGTTCAAATATATGTTCTATAATGTTCAGTTCAATATGTATGTATGTATGTATGTATGTATGTATGTATGTATGTATGTATGTATGTATGTATGTATGTATGTATGTATGTATGTATGTATGTATGTATGTATGTATGTATGTATGTATGTATGTATGTATGTATGTATGTATGTATGTATGTATGTATGTATGTATGTATGTATGTATGTATGTATGTATGTATGTATGTATGTATGTATGTATGTATATGTATGTATGTATGTATGTATGTATGTATGTATGTATGTATGTATGTATGTATGTATGTATGTATGTATGTATGTATGTATGTATGTATGTATGTATGTATGTATGTATGTATGTATGTATGTATGTATGTATGTATGTATGGGTGAACAAAACTAGATGATTTGAAAAAACTGATTTTTTAATTTCAAATTATTTGAGTTAACTCGATTTTTTTTATTCAGAATTCGAGTAGAATCAAATTTGATTTATAAAATTTGAATAATAAAAATCTGAAAATTTAACTGATGTTTTGATCTTTAGCTAAGTAATTTGATTTATGATTTCTTTGTTTCTTCGATCTCTTATTCATTTTAAATGCATTTTTATCAAGTTTGAATCACATGTTCCTCAACCATTATAGAGTACTTGTGTAATTTCAGTTCTTCTTTTTGACAATAAATTTGTTCTTTTAATTTAATCCCTTAACTTTGTCTTTTATTTAATTTGTACCTCTAGCTTCAACTCTTTGCAATTTCTTTCCTTCTAACAATTCATTAACTCCTTTATACTCATCAATGTTATCCTCAAAAATTATTTTTAAAAAATAACAATATAAATATATAATATTATATAGTATTTGATTTATTAAAAAACAAATCGTACTTATATATGTGAAAAAGAATATATATATGGTTAGAGCCACTTGTTTAAATTAGAATCAATCAATATCATATTATTATAAATAATTACACATAAATTTGAAATGAGACTCAAACATATATTTTTAATATAATTTAATTCGAAATTTATAAACTTTATTCAAGAAAAAATTGAATGATTAAAGGTTGCAATAAATGTGGAGAATGAAGATCTGTTTAAGGCCATTTCAGCAAGAAATTAAAGGGATTTAACTACTCGAAATTTAAAAGTACAGGAGTTTTCAATGACAAATGTTAATGTTTTGTCCCCCATCTCTTTGTTTATGTTTTCACCTTCCAACAATCCAAGAATTTACTTTTCAATCAAAATAGTACAAATGTATTTATGGCATACATGGGATGGTTTCTTGTCGGTTGAATGGAAGATCCCAAAATTAATATGACCATAGTTATAAGATTAAAAATGTATTTATGTGATCGTATTTTATAATAATTTAAAAGGTAAAATATATAAATGATCTCTCGATTATAGGGTACTTCTTTGTTGAGTCTCTCGACTATTAAAAGTTACAAAATAGTTCTCTGATTATAGAAAACTATTTTGTTTCAGTCCTCCGATTATTAAAAGTTACAGTTATTCATAAGTTTCAAATTCGTCATTTTTCGTTAAAAAATTGACAATCGTCTAGGTTGGGCGTTATTTGACTTAACAAAGCAATGCCCTATAATTATGGGTCCAAATTTTTTATCATATCACAGTCAACATGTTAACGTCCAACTCAGATGACCACTAATTTTTTTTAACAAAAAGAACAAGTTTGGAACATATGAATAGTCGGGTGACCATTTTTGTAACTTTTAATAGTTTGGGGAATCAACAAAATAATATCCTATAATTGGTGGATCATTCTATAACTTTTAATAGCTAATGGACTCAATAAACCAACTCTTTATAGTTGGGGACCATTTGTGTACTTTACCTTAATTTAAACTATCCTATTTTAATTTCATTTTTAAATTATAAGTTTTCTTTAAAATTATATCATAATTTGTTGAGTATTTTAATTTCATTCTCAAATTAGATCATCTTAGATTGATCCTAAATTTTTTAATCTTCTAATTTTATCTCTAAATTCGTTTAAATATGTAATTAATTTCAACCATAATTTAACATGGTTGTTTTTCAAACATATAATAATTTAACTTGATTTAAGAAACCATTAAATGACTCTAAAATATTAAAAAAAGGTTCAGGAAAAAAAATTCAGATTAGTGTGATTGTTCTTCTTAGAAGATTCAGATTCGACCAACTAGATATGTAGATATATGCATTGTTAATAATTAAAATAGATTATGAACAAATACTATCGTTTTATAACATTACACTATTAAAAGAAAACATGATCTAACAACTTTATTATCCACATATGTGATTAACATATACCGTTAATACTTCTCATATCGTTAAATTTAGCGGTGTTGATTTTTATTTTAGAGAAAATCGCCTCAATGACCAAAATTGCCTTATAATATACGATTTTAACCAACTTTTTTTGGATTTGCCAAAATGACCAACAAAATCGCAATGCGATCTCTAATTCGCAACGCGATTTTCAGTATCGCAAATTCGCGTTGCATTTCGCGTTGCGATAGTTGAAAATCGCGTTGCGATAGTCTACAGTGTCGTTGCGATAGTCTACAGTGTCGTTGCGATTTTCCATTTCGCGTTGCGATAGTCTACAGTGTCGTTGCGATTTTCCATTTCGCGTTGCGATAGATGAAAATCACGTTGCGATAGTGTACAGTCATTGCGATCGTTGCGATTTTCCATTTCGCGTTGCGATAGTTGGAAATCGCGTTGCGATAGTGTACAGTGTCATTGCGATTTTCCATCTCGCATTGCGATAGTGTACAGTGTCGTTGCGATTTTCCATTTCGCGTTGCGATAGTCTACAGTGTCGTTGCGATTTTCCAAATTCGTTGCGATAGTCTATAGTAAATTAAAAAAAGATTTTGTTTCTTAAGAATTTTCTCTAAAAAGATAGTATCCGCGCGGACGTGTCGAAGACACGTATTACCACGACCACGACCACGACCACGACCACGACCACGACCACGACCACGACCACGACGAGAAATCCGGCGGCGGCGGCGCGCGAGAGTTAAATACACTTCCCAATAGTGTTTCCAATACTATGTGGGATTGAGCATTACTCAACACTTCAAAGAAAATATAGCAATTTTTGTAACATGTTTCCCACTTAATCCACATATCTAAAACATTTTATCATTTTATCAAGAGAATTAAAAGAGTTGTAGATATCTACATTTCAATTCAAACTTATACATATAGTTTTAATATGATAAAATGTTTTAATATTTTTAGATATGGATTAAGTAGGAAACATGCTACAAAAATTACTATATTTTCTTTGAAGTGTTGAGTAATGCTCAATCCCACATAGTATTGGAAACACTATATGGAAGTGTATTTAAGGCTTGGATTTCCCATTTCCTTGTTGAGTGAAAGAGAACAATGGGGACTCTCGCGCGCCGTCGCCGCCGCCGTCTCGTCTCGTCTTGTGGTCGTGGTCGTGGTCGTGGTAATACGTGTCTTCGACACGTCCGCGCGGATACTATCTTTTTAGAGAAAATTATCGCAACGACACTGTACACTATCGCAACGCGAAATAGAAAATCGCAATGCGATTTTTAACTATCGCAACGCGAAATGCAGCGCGAATTTGCGATACTGGATATCGCGTTGCGAATTAGAGATCGCATTGCGATTTTGTTGGTCATTTTGGCAAATCCAAAAAAAATTGGTTAAAATCGTATATTATAAGACATTTTTGGTCACTGAGGCGATTTTCTCTTTATTTTATGGTGGTAGCCATTTTATTTGCAGGATGTGATCTTAGTTTTACTTATTATTGTTGTTCCATTGCTTTCCTTTGTTTGATTTGGCATAATGATTACAATAAAAATTTCATAAGATGATATCCGTTTAGAATAATAATTCAAACTCCTCATAGAACTCACGAAGAGGTACTCCCCCTGTCTTTTTACTAAATAATTTACTTTTTTATGATTTTTTTTAAAAAAAAATCTACATTGAATCTAAAATGGGTTATTTCTGTAGAAACTAGCATTCAAAAATGGGTTATTTTTTTTTGCATTTAATACTATGTTTCAAATGCAGGAGGATTTCATGTCAGTCATGCATGGAAGCCTAAAGTCATTTCTGATTATGTCCAACATGAAAAACTCACTATCAAATGAAGATATCATTGTTCAACATTGGCAATTTTTTCTTCTTATAACTCTTTCATTTCTATCTCTAGAACTGTGACGGAAGACGATCAAGTATATTCAGTAGCAAAATTATCTTGTTGCTTACCGTGCATCAGGGACTGGACGATAGTTGGGGCTGCCTTTGTATAGAAAATGGGGATAGACAGTTGGCGTTTTTCTGTCAATCTTAGGTGTGGTTCTTTTCTCGAGTAAGTGATTGTTGATGTCATGAAGTCCTTTCCCCAATGCTGTTTCAGTTCGTTTGTTTAAGGAGTTTGACTTCAAATTTGATTACAAGTCACTTAATGTGTTCCTAATCGAGATAATCCGATCAAATGCTGTGTGGTTTCTCGAGTGTTTTTGCGAGCTTGCGTTTTATATTTTCAAAGAAATTATGGTAGTTTATTACATATTGGGAGTTGTGTTTGACGAGGATGCTTCGGATGTGGTTTTTGCTTGAATAGTAAGGTTGGCTGGTCGTTTTTTAAATTTGAGTATTGTTGTATTGTCTTCCACAGAATACTTATATATGATGTTTATGGTGT